CATAAATAATGCATTACCTGGGAGTCTATGATTTCTTGCTCACAGGGTTTTTAATCCTACCAATTTCTGTCTTTCCATTCTCTTTTACTGGATAATTAAACTTTATATTTTTCCTCATTTTGAATATTTAATTCTATAATATTTTATTTAACTGTCTTCTCATAAAGACTGTGGTTATTTACACAGAAGCTAATGGTTTCAAATTTTATGTATCTTCTAGAAATAGTCTCCTATGAATTCTAAACCTTAGGATCTGTCTTCTTTGAATCCACAGGCCTCTTACCTTGTTTCACTGTATTTTAAGTTATGATGCAGAAATTAGTAAGGGAAAATAGATTTAGATGTAGTTTGGTTAAGCAAGACAAAGACAACTACTTTTCACCATTCCTACAGCAATGTTACTATTTTATAGAAAAAGATAAAACAAAATTCATGAAATTATACACACATAACATAATTATATATATATATATGTATATATATATATATATATATATATATTCCTAATATGTGTGACATATATGAGTGAAGTCACTACAACTATGTGAGGTTTTTTCCCTATGAAAACCCTTCCTACTCTGGTGGGCACTAGATCTTTCCTTTCAGTCATCATGAATTTCTGAGGAACTCTTCATTCTCTGCAATCCATTATTTCAGGAGTTTGATGGCTGAAGGGAATGCAAGAGGATGTCTCCTATCTCATCAGAAATTTTGCATAGGATTATAGTTACATTACACATAAAAAATAAATTGAAAAATCTTGCTGTCTATTAAGTCTCAAAAGAAAGGGTGATAAAGATGAATCTCAAAGTCTGAGTAAGCAGAATGTTGGAGCTGTTATTTCTACCTAGTGTATGATGTCCAAAAAAGGGAAGATCAAAACTATTGGATGTAACCAGTCAGCTATATTATTGGGTATCTAGATACAGATGTCAAGATTGTAGGCAGAAATTTTAAATATAAGTTTGATTTTATAGTTGCCTAAAGAATATAAATCTGTGATGCTTTATGCTAAGGATGGTTCTCAAAGCCAGAATATCAGGTAACTTCACAAAAGCTTTTATAAGGTTGATACCTGAAGAAGTGGTGTCTGTAAGTCAGAATCAGGAAGAATCACCATGAATATCTGATAGGAACAACCAGAGAATTAGAAGAAAACAGAGTGTAGTGTATTAGAAAACAAATGAAGAAATTAGAATGCTTATTTTTCAGTCAATAACTAACCTAGCTAGAAATAGCTCCATTCTTCCACAATCCCATGACCCTGGCAGAAACCTTGACTCCTCTGATTCTCATGCCCAATGTTTAGTCTAGTAGTCACTGTGCCAGTTCTGATAAGATTCTCCTAATCCAGAGCCACACTATTCTATGTCATTGCCACCATCTACCTGTGTTACCACAGTAACACATTCTTGGTCCCTACTTCCCAATTTTATCCTTGCCTTTCTCAAACTGTTCTAAAGAGATGACCAAAATGGTTATGTTTGTATTCAAATGTCATTCCAATAATATTACTAGCTTAGTAAGAGATATTCATTGATCACTTAATGCTCTCAGACTAAAATCCAAAATCATTATAAATATTTCATGGCTTTGCTGATAGCACCTTCTACTGAATCTTGTCTACTCAATCCAGTCTAGCCATTCTGGAAACCTCATATTTTTGAAAATACAGGGACATGGTGGTAATGCACTTGTAATTGTTTTTCTCTCTTGTGTGAACTTTTCTTAGGAACACGGTGAATGTCTATTCATTCCAGACAGGGAAAATGAACAAGTCCATTGAATTATATGGTATTTTCATTTATGGAAACCTTCTGCTGTAGAAACTCAGTATAGTGAAAGAATTTTAAGTACCAAAGAAAGAAACTGAAAAAGACACAATATCAAAAGACAACCCATGGTCATGGATCAGTAGATTCCATATCATTCCCACATCTGTAGTACAAAAAAAAATCTTTAGAGTCAGACAATCCTTATTGATATTCCAGTGTTGTTTTTTACAATCAAAAATGGAAGAGAAGGCAATCATAAAATTCATATGGAAGAAAAAAGACCTTGAATTTAAAGCAACTCTGAGCATAAAGTACAATGATGAAGGCATCAGCATATAGCTGTACCGTAGAGAGATAGTCATAAAATAGTATAGTATTGGCATAAGAAACAAAAAGAAACAGACGTAACAATCAACAAAATAAAATAGACAACCTAGAACTAACCCACACAATTGAGGACAGCCCTGTGAATTTTGACAGTGATCACCAAACAAGCAGTGGATTTGAAAAGGCCTCTTTAATAAATGTTGCTGAGTAAAGAGCTTTCCACGTGTAGGAGAATAAAACTGGATCAAAATCCCTCCCATGCAAAAAAATGCAGAATCAAGTGACGGATGTCACAACTGAAATTTTTAAAAATCTAGAGGGAACAGAACACTTGAGGATGTAGAAATAGTCATGAGTTTTCTGTATAAGGTTCCAGTACCCCTGGAAGTAATCCTAAATTCTAATGGAGTCATATGAACTTAAAGCTTCTTCACAGGAAAAGGAATTATCCTGAGTAAAGACACAGACTGGAATGGAAAAATCAAATTGTTGCCTGCTATGTATCATATGGGGTTAATAGCTAATATATTATGAAATATGGAACTATAAAAACCAAATGTCAAAAAAGCTTTCAAATCTTTCAATCAATAAATGAGTTAATGAAATGAATATTTAGCTTCCAAAAGATGAAATAACAATAACCAATAAAGATGAAAAAATGTTCAATATCCTCTATAATCAGAGATATTTAAAATAAAATTACATTCAAATTTAGACTTACACTAGTTAGAATGGCTGTTCATTAAGAAAAAGTAAATGCTGTGCCATTACAGGGAAAGCAGGAACTCTAGATGGGGCTAGTGGGAATTAAAATAAGTTTAAATACAACAGAAATGTGCCTAAAGATAGCAGAAATATTGAAAAAATTATAACTACCACATCAAACACATAGTTTGGGTATATGTGCCAAGGATATTAATTCAGCATATAATTGAGATACTTGTACATCCTTGTTTATTACAACATTTTTCAAAATCTCAAATATGTGACAGCAGTCTAAATGTATAATGCATAAAAAAGGAACTGATAAAAGGGGTAGTGTACTATAAATAGAGTTCATAGAGTCCTAAGGAAGAACATAATTATGTTGTTTGCAGGAACATGGACACAACTGGAGAGCATAACATTAAGTGTAATGAGGCAGATACAGAAAGACAAATACTACTTACTTTCTTCCTGTTTTAGATTCAGTATTTTAGGTAGATACATGAAATCATTTATTTATGAGGAAGAAAGCTAGAAGCAAGACAGTCCTGGAGAAACAATGGGAATAGCAGGAGGGAAGAGAAGGAGGAAGTTGGGTAAATATGCTCAAAGTACTTGACAGTCATGTATAAAATGAGGTTTTTGAAACCATCCACATATGAAATGACTATATAATAAAACTACATAAGTATAAATAATTATATGTTTTACATATAATAGTCTTTCAAAGTCACAGCATTGACTCCACTATTTTATAAATATAAATATATAATAAATTTATTTTATTTTATTAATAGTTATTAATTATTAATAATATATTGCCTTAGCATTTCTATTGCTGTGAAGTGATGCCATGACTATGGCAACTCTTATAAAGGAAAACATTTCATTGGGGCTGGCTTACAGTTTCAGAGGTTTAGTCCATTATCTTCATGGTAGTGGTGTACAGGCAGACAGAGTTCTGGAGAAGAGGCTGAGAGTTCTACTTCTGCAGGCAGCAGAAACAACTGTGTCACACTGGGCACAGCTTGAGTGTATAAAATCTTAAAGTCCACCTCCTCAGTGACACACTTCTTCCAACAAGGCCACACCTACTTCAGCAAGGTCACACCTCCTAATAGTGCCACTCCCTATGGGCCAAGCATTCAAACACATGAGTTTGAATAGGAGCTATACCTATTCAAACCACCACCACCACCAACACACACACACACACACACACACACACACACACACACACACACACACACAATCCTGAGTTTGAAATTTCAGATTAATGTTTGTAACAACATATGAGTCTCTTTTCCTTTTTACTGGAACAAAATTTGATTGGTGTTCATATAATTCTCTCTATATGTGTATATATATTTAATATTTGACTTTTTTTTTTTTTTTGGTTTTTCGAGACAGGGTTTCTCTGTGTAGCTTTGTGCCTCTCCTGGAACTCACTTGGTAGCCCAGGCTGGCCTCGAACTCACAGAGATCCGCCTGACTCTGCCTCCCGAGTGCTGGGATTAAAGGCGTGCGCCACTACCGCCCGGCATATTTGACATTTTATTTGAAACACTTTTTAAAATTTTTTAGATGAGATCTTGAATTTGTAAAGACAGTAAAGTCTAAATTATAATTGGGAAGTTACATATTACACAATGTCTAATTTAAAACTTGAAAGTAAGCTAATTTTTTCAGGTTATGTGGTAATCAATAAAGAGGATGCCAAGTTGATGGACAGGTTTGCCTGGAGCAGCTTTTAAATAAAAAAGAATTGTCAATATTAACATTAAAGCAAGATCAATTCTAACTCAAATTAAAGTAAGGTAGTTGAACAGTCTTTTATACCATTTTAGTAAGAGTTTTCTCTCTATCTATCCTTAAATTTTTATCATTGCCAACACTTTATCATTAATATTGAGTCAAAATAAAATTTGGAACACATTATTGCTTATATATTTAGATTAAATGGAATGAGAATTAGAGAGGCATGAATGACTATTATTCATTAGCCATTTATTTATCTGTAATATATGGATGGGTTTCTTAGATAAACTTGTGGACAGAAAATTATTATGACTTTGATAGATAATTTCTAAAAGTATATTTTAGGTATATGTATAAAAAGCATTTAACTATTGTTAGTGATAATTTTTTGTGGCAAAGTATAAAGATTTTGACATATTTATGTTTTCATTTCAGCAGGAAAAAAGTCAAGAAAGCTCAAGAATCAAAGGTAAGAAATAAATATTTTAAAACAGCCTCTCAAAGATGAAAGAAAAATGATGTAATACCGTTTTGTAAATACAGTTAAAATAAGGATAATTCACAAGCTACAATGTAATTTTAAAACTATTTGAATATCTGATGATTGTGTGGCCAATAGTCTTCTCTGTTGAAATAGTCTTTTTATTTCGTAGGATGTTCTGATGATCTCAATGTAAGTTTTTACTTCTCTGTATTGTCCAGATGAAAATCCTGCCTCAACCATTGTCCCTACTTAGCGTTCTGTCATATGTATAAATTGACAAGTGACAAGTTTTAAAATACATGCTATGGAGAACTCAGCATTTAGCCATTTTTATCTTACTTGATTTGTACATAAAATATTGAAGATATTTGTTTATGTATTTAAATTGGTAACAACATAGAATGAAATATCTCTAGTAAGAAAAAGGTGGTTTCCCTATAGAAGCATTCTTAGTTTTGAAGTTTATTTTTTGATACAAGAAGTCACTCTTTATGGTTGTAGTTTTTAACAAAATAATTCTTACTGATAATAATGAGGAAAAATACAGCATTTTCTTGGCTTAATTTTTATGGCTTCTCCATTTATGTGTTGATCTTTATTTTACATTTGGGATTTCCCGTGTACTTCTACATTCTCTGAAGCATCCCAGTCCAATCATGGCCATGGAGGAAAATACGAGCATAGTGTTTCTTTCCATATTTCTTGTATAGGAAGATTTTTTTCAGAGATATAAAAACTTTAAATTCATAGTCATGCAAGCTGGCATGTACTCCTGACATGGTAAAAGGATAGACATACTCCGTAGTATCTTTAGACAATGATGCTTCTTTAAAAATCTTTGAATTATTAATTTATCCTATGTGTATGGGTGTTTTGCTTGCATGTGTGTCTATGCACTCTGGAAGTAGTACTAGTGTAGCTAGTAGTCATGGATGACAGAAGGTCTCAGATCCCTTGTCACTGGATGCAGACGTAGTTGTAAGCTACCATGTGGGTTCTGGAATCTAACCAGGTGCTCTGGAAGAGCAACAACTCTCAAGGTCAAGGTTCATTTTAAATACTAATTCCAAATACACTTCTACTTAGAAAGTTTTCAACAGCTGGCTACTCCTACAATAATTTCCACATAAGTCTACTCGAACAAGGAGTAAAAATGGTGTGTGTTTGTGTGTGTGTGTGTGTGTGTGTGTGATACGTTCTGCTCAAATGGATTGCATAAGATTGTCAATTGAGGAGTTTCCAAACTATTTAAGTTAATTCTTAGAAATAGAAAATATGGAATATTTTGTACGTGAAATTATTACACATATTTAACTTCAAAACACTATTAGATTTAAGGCTCACACTTTTTTGTTGCAAATAAGAATTTCTGTCCTAAGATGTGCTGTCTGATATTTATTCAAATGACATGAATTTCTGGCATACTGATTGCACATCTTCCTGCCCCAGTGTATCAGGTTAACATTAAATCATATTTGTAACTCTGTTATTGAAGCAGAAATAAGTTTAGTGAAACATTCTTCTTGATGTTTTATTACCCTGGACATATAAATCACACCATCTCAAGTAGAAATTATGTTTTGCAAGCATTGTCTGGGAACAAGTTTCAGCAATATAATAAAATTTTGAGATGATGTTTGCCAGCTCTTCCCCTGTTCTTAGCTCGCATATGATTCAAAACTAACACACATAGGATTTTTTTTTAAATTACTGACTTGTATGTAAATAAGAGGTGAATTCTGATACTAGAACTTGCTTATTTCATCTAGAAAGGATTGCTGTTTCCTTGGGTGTGGGAATAATGTCATCTTTTGAAGACTAGGTTTCATGGTGTCAATATGAAATAAAACAAAAGTAAACAACACAGCATGGAGGTAAAGCTTATCATGTGCTGATAAACAACTTTGAAAATTAAATAATTTATGTTTCATAGAAACTAATCATTGGAATTTATCTTAATAATTTTTATAGCATTTTCATCCAGTAGTTCCCTTGACTTCCTGATTAATGGCTAATCTCATTTATCCGAACAAGTTTATCATACAGAATTAAGTCCAGTTGAGGGCTTTAATCTAATTTCCTTCTATGGTGCTTGGGTTTGCTCATAACAACATCCCCAAATTAATGATTCTAACTTAATGTTTCCAGTGATCTTTAATAAACAAATCACAAAGTACTCCAATGAAACTTGATTTCTACTTTATTCATGTACACAGTAGTAAATTTTAAAATGCTTGTAAACTTATAACTGTATTACATGTTAATATTTGTAGAATATGATCTTCTTTTGAAATATTATGGAATATAATATCTTTATATGTTATAAAATTATGTGTTTATGTAATTTAATGGACAAAACACATTCCTTTACATTTTAAATAGCTTTAATTTATAAATTTCCTATATTTAATGAGTCAGGGGTTACTCTGTATTGGGTTTCTAATTTTGGAGGTTAACAATTACTTAAGATAGTCTTTCGTGCTTGGGGTTGCACTGAAGGTCACAGTAAGGAAATCAAAACAGTGCTGTAGGTTTGGAAGGATTAATGCTGCATCAGACAATCTCTAACATGCTTTCACAAGGATATTATGTACACATTAGCATATCATATATTGCATTGAAATCCATTAAATTTTGTAAAAATACTGTTAGGAAATATTTAATTTTGAAGATTATTTCGAAAATACACAATACAACAAATTAGTTAAAATATGAAAATATTTCTCAAAGAAGTACAATAATGTTTTCATAGACCATAGTGGTGAAACAATGTTTTGATTAAGATTTAAATAATTTTTGAATCACAAATAACTTTATATTTGTACCAACTTGACACATTTTAAGTTGCTCACATAGTTGAAAACACCTGCTGAAATATCTAAGGATAGTTTACCAGTGCTTATATGTTGGAGAAATTTTGAATTTAATCTTCGGTTTTGTTCTGTAAATGAAAGACGAAATATCATCCACCATGTGATCCTGTGGGTCTCTTCACAAGCTGCTTTTCTCCTATTTTTAAATGAACAACTGTGTTCTCCTTGAGGAATGATAGAAATAAAAGATGTATATCTTCTGATACTAGTTACATTTTGGTTAATCTAATATCCTACAGTAAAGAGAAAACAAACCTTAAGTTACTTTCTCCATAGGTGCAATTGTTTGTTAAATTCTTAATAAATCTCAGACACAGGTTTGAACTATTTGTTCATACGACATCAGTTTAATTCTCAATGAAATAGTATTAGATAAGATTTAGTGATAAAAAAGATAAAATATTGAAAAATCACATCAAAAGTAAATAATTTGTATCAATATCATAATATGTGTTTTATTTTAAATAAATCAATTTAACCAATTATTAGTTGTAGATTGAGAAATTAGCAATGTTTAATTAGAAAAGTTTTTTCTATATTCAGAATTTGAAGATATGAATTTTACTATTTTCTGTTATTTTTCCTTAATGTCAGAGTTACAAATATCATCCAACTTGCAATTCATATATATTCTGCTAAGTACTCGGAAACTTTTTAAATGAAAACATACACTATACTGAGTAGGTTGTATCTGTATATTTAGAAACAAACACATATGTATATATGTAACAATAATTAATGAAAATAAAAAGGCCATAAATTTGAAAGAGAAGGAAAGATATGTGGAATGATTTGAAGGGATAAAAAAGAAGGCAGATATGATGAATTTACAATTTAAAAAATACTATTTTAAAATGAGAGTGGGGAAATGCAGCATAATCCTGTTCTAGAGAAGTTGTTTAGGTCCTGTTCTGACAAACTATATCGTGTGGTCCTTGAGAAGTAATTTGACTGGTCTATGTACAATTCATTTTTTTATGGTAAATGGCACAATTTATTTCATGGTAATAAAAAGCTTGACACATCTGAAATTTTAAATCTTATGATTCAATAAGAGCCTTGGATAATTTTATTATGATAAACATCCATCTTCCAAAACATTGCAATTCCCAGTACGTTCTTTATTAGTTACTTTTTTTTTGATTACAAGAAAATATCTCACAACAATACCTGAAGGGCTTATTTTGGCTTACAGGTGGACGGTAAATCTGTTATGGTTAGGATGGCACGGTGACTGAAGTGTAAGGTCACTGATCACATTCCATTCCCAGTCAGCAAGCAGAGGGAGATGAATGTTGATACGTAGCTTGTTTCCTCCTCTTTATTTAGTTCAGGATCCAAGCCGATGGGATGGTAATATCCACATTTATACTGTGTCCTCCTATTCCATTTACTCTAATAATCCTGCATAAACATGTGCAGAAGCTTGCAACATTTGTGATTCTAGATCCTGTCAAGTTAACAAATACTGATACTTACAAAAATTTTAAAAAAAGAACATAATAGGATGGGAGATGTTGAGGAACCAGACCCCAAATAACTAATTATATTTTCCCAATATTTTAATGCTTCATATGAAATGAAATGGAAATTATAGAGACTGAGGTCAGAATTTTCATGATTCAATACATTTTAAACCATACACTACCATATCAATGTTGACTTTTCCTTTAAAAGCATCTCTTACTATAGACTTTTAAAACAGAAGCGAAATGACTTCTAGCAGAGATTTTAAAAAAGTGTATATTGTATTTCAATTTCTTCACGTAGCTAATATTTCAATAAGACACCTAAACTATATTTGATATTTCATGTATTTAGTGTGAAGAAATCATTTCTCTTGCAATGAATAATTTTATGAAAGAATAAATGCTGAAATGGTCATGTGGCCGAATATTTGAATTTTGTTTTGTATAAGAGTCCCTGTCTTAGAGGTCAAAGAGAAAATTCTATGGTCCATTACGCATTTTGCTTTCCTTTTTTGCTTTGACACTTCAGGCACATTAAGCATGACATTTTACTTCATTAAAAGGAGTTTATTATCTTGTGATTTTGGAATATGTATCTATTCTTTCTTTCCCAAGAACTTAACATTTAATATCAATTTTAAAT